AACTTGTACATAATAATATTATAGCTTGCTTTGCTTTATTTGTGGTTTTTCTGTTTCGCACTAAAGTTCCTGTCTGAAATAAAGAATTTAATAGTGATGTTATTATTTAGTAGATTATGTTTTAAAAATTAATATTATAGATACCACCGTATAATCTTCACCCACATCGGTGGGATAGATGAGGCTTTTGAACCACCTTTTTTATACCATACTTTCATTATATCTTATTGCCGTTTAAATCGCCCAGTGTATATTCATGTCAACTGATCTCGAATATTATACTGCTCAGGTACACCGCGGGTTGTATGAACTGTACGTGCGCGCATAAACGAGGAGGAAAAGCGAGAAAATGTAATAATAATAATATCAAGCCACATTACTCTGTAGCATATGAGCACAAATACAGTATTTATCTACTATACAATGGGCACGTTTTCTTAACTGTCGTTGTAGTACCATTGCAGTTATCATTTACTAAATGTATATTATATTGTAGGAGTAGATATTTTTTTTGTACCTAAATCGTATTTCCAAATTCCAGCAACTTTCTTAAAATCCCTAGTACCCTGCTTACGATCCGTAGGCATAACAAAATATTTTTTCGCAACGAAATATGACACGCAGACTGCATTAGGCGAATTTTTATTTTCTTTCGGTTAAAACATTTAAAAGGCAAATATACATTAAGCTGCGATAAATATAAGGATTTTTTTATAGTAGACTATATTATTATGACCTATGTAGATTATTATACCTACCTACTGAATTTTAATGCATTTTCTTTTCCAACGAAATATTAGCATACTATATACTGCCCCTTGTGAGTTTGACTACGTTATTCTTGCTTCGAACAAAGTTCTTCTTTTCTAGTATTATAATTTTTGAAATTTACATTTTAAATTGAACGTCCTGCAGCATTTGAACACTATATAATATATTATGTCTATTGTTTCAACAAAACAATTTTATACAGGTATAGCAGGAGCTTTAGAGTGGAATAAAAAAATTATGCTAAAATTATTAATATTCACAATTATAAACATTTTAGCACGTAAATATTGATTTACGATCCAACCTGCTCGACAGTAATGAACGCATAGATAATATTTAAATACAAAGCACCGTCGATTACCATATAGTATTCAAATTGCATTTATTTCGATTCACGAAGTAGGAAATGAAATTTCATTTTACCTATATGGCTTGTAATTATTTACTAGTTTTTTTTTCAACAGTAAACTGTTTGTAGGTAGCAGGGGCGCATTAAGGGTTCACATATGGGGGGCAAAATTATTTTGCGCCCCTGGTGTATTTTATGAATATTAATGAAAGTATAAAAAACTTAAAAAAAATTTCCTCGCTGCGCTCGAAAAATTAAGTTTGTACCTTACATTTCATACAGTTATTATACCTACATAGATATCTTATTAAATGAATTACTAAATATCTATTTGGAACTTGGAATAATAATCCTTTCTTTTAAAATAGTACTGGTAATTGGAATATTTATTATGTAAAATGTTTATACTTCATTAACTAATAAATACCTCCTAGTAAGCAACTCCTATATTTTTAGTTATTTATGGAGTACCTATGTATTAAGCATTGACTTATAATAATAAATATATCTTTATTCTTTATTAAGGGGATTCGATACCGTGATTTTCTGTTTTTGTCTAACACACGCGCGACATAGTATTTTAGATGTGTTTTTTGCCAAACATACCAATTGATCTAATGAAGCGATACGAATTCTGAAAACAGATTTGAATTTGTCGTCAAGTCTACTTGAAATCGACTTTCCCACATTTTTGATATTATCCCCTAAATTTTTTTAAATGTCATATTCAAAAAGAGTATTTAAAAATTCTGTTATTTCAATTTTTGGAGAAGTTTAAATCAAAAAATCAAAAATGTGGGAAAGTCGATTTCAAGTAGACTTGACGACAAATTAAAATCTGTTTTCAGAAATCTTATCGCTTCAATAGATCAATTGGAATGTTTGGCAAAAAACACGTCTAAAATACTATGTCACGCGTGTGTTAGACAAAAACAGAAAATCACGGTATCGAATCCCCTTAACAATAAAATATTATTACATATTATAAAACTATTTAAATGACAAATATGGAACAATACTAATTAAAATATTTTCTTATTTTTTTGTTCACAAACTCTTTTATAATACTTGACCAATCAATACTTCTAATCATCTCATTTTCTATTGACAGCCATAGGCGCACATTGGGTGTGAATTCAGGGGGTGCTGGGATAATTTATGGTTCACACCTCCTAATCCTAATATTTCTGCATTGCATTAGATTTAATTTGTATAGTGTATACAATAATTTCTAAAGTGCAATGTATCAAATAGTCTGTATGATTGTAAAGAAGAGGCTAGGTACTCTAGGTACACCCACATGTGTTGTCTCCGTATTACAGACGTAGGTACAACATAGGCAAAACTGTTTTGCACGGGTATAAAAAACATTCAGGCTCTACTCTAAGCTAAGAAACTAAATGTTCACACTATAAAAATGAGAAAATTTACTCTGTAACTTTGTTTTTATATTTCCGATATCAAAACCAAAATAAAAGTTATTTAAGTTTGATAAACAAAAAAAAGGTGCTCTGCTGTACAGTAGGGTACAAGTGGGTCCCTGTATAATCGATGGTATTAAATTTGAATTCAATGATATACTAACATCATTGTATAAGAAAAACGATTCTGAGCGAAGACGGTTAGTCAGCCTATGATATTACTAAGTATATTTGATGATACTAAGGTGAATAAAGCAATTTATATATAACCTATTTACGTAGAATCTTATTTTAAATTTTCAATCATTAGCTATAAAAGTTGAACATTTTATAAATTTTTAACTATCAAATTATTATTAAATTTTAAATGTGATAAATTTTGTCAAAATTTGAATTTTAAATAATTATTAAAAAAAATTGTGCCTATGTATTTTTAATATTTTTCAAGTGTTATTGTAACAATATATTAGGAGCTTTGCATTAAATTTTCAAGCTTTTTTACCATACAAATAAAATTTTATTGATATGAATAGAAAAAAAAATTAAAATATTGAAAACTGAAAATGTCCGTAAATAGCTCAAAAAGAATCAAAATATTTTCAAAACTATATGGTGTATAGGAAATGCTAATATAAAAATTTAGTAAAATTTTCAAGTATCTACAGTCATTCGTTTTTTAATTACAACAAAATTAGAAAATCGTTACACGAGAAATCGAGTGAATATCAAATGTTGTAAAAATATGAATTTCAAACGTTCATAAAAATTTAATTTGAGATTCTTGTAGACATTTTTTTTTTTTGATAAAGGTAGACAAACTTATGAGGAATCTTGCATTACATTTTCATATCTTAGATTTAAAAAGAAAATTTTTTATGAATTTCTAACTCGAAATAATTTGCAAATTTTCTTCATTTTCACGTATTTTGTCAATATTTGGAATTTAAATGCTTATAACAATTTGACCCCCCCAAAGTACCAACTAGATTCACTTTCCTATCAGAAAAGATACTGTTGAAGAAAATCCAAGCACTTTTACTGCCCTAAAAGATGATGACGGACAAAAAAAAAATGAATTCGTGAATTCGTAAACAGTTGTTAATATTTGTAATGAAAAGAAAAATTCCGAACCAATAAACCACGATAGTTTATAAATGATTGGTGAAATACTGAAATAAACTGAGGGTGCTAGTTTGAAGCTTGCATATAAATGCCCATCTCATGCTATGACATAATTTTATATACATAATTTATAACGTTTAATAGTACATTAGTATGATAGTTCTAATTATTATTAGTTGTTTCTTAAACCCGAGTTTTCCATTATGTCATACAATTTGTATGTTTTCTTTTTGACTCTGAGATACAAAAAAAAAAAAATTACAAAAATGTACCGCCCCCAAAAAACTTCCGCCCGGGGCAAATGCCCCTTTTGCCCCCCCCTTAATGCGCCCCTGGTAGGTAGAGTAGGTAGTCTACATCATTCGCGATAATGAATAAGAAATAATTTCACAATACTATACTATATATAAGACATAATACAAATACATTACATACTATATACAGAAATCATATTTTACTTTTTATGTCTGAGTGTCTAATTTGTATATTATATCATTAAAGTGTACGTCCGTCGGTCGTCGGTATGAATACAATTGTACAAAGACCCCCAATAATATAATATATGCATATTATATCATACGTCAATATTTTAAACATTGACGTAACTATGAATCACTATAATGATCGGGGTAAATAATTCTAAAGAAATGCGTACATGACTGTTCATTTCATAATATAATATATATGTATATAACACTCGACCAGTATAATATAGAACCAGCTTTTTTTATTTATTATAGACACCCTATATTATATGCTAATGATTGACATTTAAAAGATAGTCATTTTATTTTTCATCGATGAGCACAATAGAAAAGTTACATTATCAAATAACGAGGAATGGGGTTTACTGATTTCCTTATTATATCGCGGTCTAAAATCCTGTTGGTATACAATTTAATTATGTAGAATTTAATATATTTATACCTATATGGCTTATATATGTATATTAAAAATTGAACTATTACTAATTAGATTTCACGTTTAAACGACGCGTGTTTTTTAACGTAGTGATAGATGAATATTAGTTGTCCATTAAATGTCTTAATCACTATATATAGGTACTCGGGTAACGGACTGGTTTATAACAACGTAACTTGATATACTTGTCAAACTACATATTATTATAATATTATGAAACGCTGGCGTGTTATTATGCGATTTGTGTGTAAACAAACGCCCAAAGAAAGTTCATTTTACGACAACTGCTATGTTAACAATACATATTATTTATTATTATTATTATTATGTCCGCGTGCTGATTTTCGATAATCAATTAATACGACCTATCATAATAATATAATCGCGTTAACCGTTTTCTGTTTTCTGTTTTACAGGCTGTAAAAGTTTTTTCAAGAGGAGCGTCCGCCGGAATCTCACGTACTCGTGCAGGGGCAGCCGGAACTGTCCCATCGACCAACACCACCGGAACCAATGTCAGTACTGTCGGCTGAAAAAGTGCCTAAAAATGGGCATGCGCAGAGAAGGTAGGAAAAAAAATAAAATCATAAATTATACCGTCCCACGACGATAATAATAATTATTACGTTATAAGTTACAAGGTATAGGTATGCCTAGTGTGTAGTATGATGATGATAATAATAATAATAACGAGCGAGAGAGAGACAAACACATAGTGAGAAGGACAGAGAGGTCGAACCGAGAGATGAGAGTAACGTGAATAGCAATTATAATAGAGATCCGAACGTCGATATAAAGACACACCGTGTCAAATCGGCGGTCTATTGGTCGTCCTCGTCGTCGTAGTTTTCGTCGTGTATGGGTTTCAATCAAATCGTCTCGTCGAATAATAACACAACGTGAGAACTAAAACATATATAGGAGGTATAATGATTATAGCGCGGTGAAATGCGCGTATAATCGACTGCTATATCGCGCGTGTAAAATTTCGTAGAAATAAGTGCCTATGTAGTATGATGTAGTATAATGTATTGATATTATATAATAGAAGACTATAGAGAGAAAATTTAGAAAAAAAATTCAAAATTCGACCTCCAAAGACAAGCTGGTGACCACTACGCCATTTCGAGGCCCTATCGTTTAAATATAGACGCGTAAATTTAGTATAATATAGTAATAGTATTGCAGTTAAGTTGTTGTAGTTGTGCATGCCTTTTTATATTATATAAACCTAAACGGTATCATTCTGCAGAGGAGGATTCCGTGCATTATAGCGTGGAAATGTTTTCAACGAGTCATCTCAAATCACGCACAATTTTTTTCGTCCCCTCCACATCACTGCAACCGCCGTGCCTCAAAATATATTATAATCGTCCAACTATATCACTATATCACATAATATTACGTGAACACGATTTCACGGAGGAACAGGGTGAAAAAAACGTAGGTAACTATATACTCGAGATTTGTTATTTTTTCAACGCATATACCTACACATCGCAGCACCACCTCCGCCACCTCCAATATATAATATAACCAATATAACTGATGTACCGTCCGCCACGGTCTACTGGGACCCGTACGAGACTCCGGTCGAGGGCAATATCCGTGAAATCGTCCTATTCGAGAAGGTCGAGTTTGGTGCGTTAACGAGGGAAGAAGTGGCCGCGACTAAACGTGCCCGACGCCCGCCGCACTCACTACATTGATTAGTGTTTCTGTATTACACACACTTCCCCTCCACTGGTGTAGGATCAGTGTAACCGCCGCCTCGAGCCTAAAACTATACCCATGTATATAATATCGTAATAGTATATATTATTTTATTTATATCCTCTAATAAGTTAAATACTCTTTCTCCCTCACCCCGCACACGTTCCCATGCGAATACACGAAAAATCGTGAATCGATATTTTCAGAGTAAATGGTTTCGTTTTAGTGCTAGCTTGTACATATACAGGGTGTTGCACGATAAATGTGTCAAACTTCTAGAGGTGTTTCTAAGCCTCAAATGGAACAAAAAAAGTCCTTATGACCATAGTCGAATTATCAATAATAAGGGTGATAATTTCCATTTTTGTGTTTTTTTGGTTAAACGCAAGTTTGATTCATAATAATGTTCAAATCTGCTAAATCGTAGGTACTACAATTAATTTGAATACATGGACGAAAAGCTCATAAAATTGGGATTAGGAAAACATATCTTACAAGGTTCTCACCTGATTTTTTGGGTAAAAAGAATTTAAGAATAGCACAAATGTTTTAAAACTTTAAAATGTCGAAATTTTAAAAAAATTCAGTTTTTTCTAACAACAATTATTTTTTAAGGCAGGGGTCATACGGACTTTTTTTTGTTTCATTTGAGGTGTAGAAACACCTCTAGAAGTTTGACACATTTATCGTGCAACACCCTGTATAGGGTGTATTGCTTGTACAAGACGTCTCAATTATAATCACATACAAAACCCACGCGGAAGTCTCCATTTCCGCGTCGAGGTTTAATCACCTTTTTAAATACCGTTTTTCCCTTTAAATTTTTACCGCCACAAAACTGCAGTTGTAGGTACATAAGACGTATACTATATAGGCAGGTGGACATGAGTAGGCACGACGTTATAAGCGTCGTGTTTTGGCGTATTCGCGCATAGACACTGTTGCAGCCGACGGTCGACTAAAACGTGCGCACGAGGCGTTCGAAAACCAACTCTATCTGGGAAACGCGTATATAGAGGTATAACACATACCAGGTACGAGTGTAGAAAACGAAAGACGATAATATACGCGTGCAATGTGCATCATCTTACATTTTATGGGTAGGTACACAAGAACACGCGGTGAATCCGCAAAAACAATCATTTATTAATTTTTTTTTCCTCCTCGCCGCCATATAATTTATATATCGTCGTCAGGCGCACACCGCCGGTACCTGTACATACAAGACGTATTATAGGTAGGTATGTGGGTACAATATAGTTGGTATATACCTATACGTAGGTATAAACGGTATAATATAATATTATGTACGGCCGTTTCTCCTTATCCGCTTTCCAAGCACGACCGTCGTCGAGCGCGTCTTCACCGTGAAACCAATTACTGCTGCAGTGATGTGCACTACACACACACACACACACACAGTATTATATATTATTATAATTATTATAATATAATATATATGTGTATATAAAAAAAACATAAAACACACTCTCGAGGAGAGGAGGATATATATACGAGTTTACTTCGAGTGCGCAGAAAACGGCGACACAGACCGCGATTTGTGAAAACTCAGTATATCCATACGATATTTATACATATGTAGGTACAGGTATGTGTAAGTATAATAATATATACCTCTTAATATACTTTTATATGCTTTTATATACACATATTTACTTATATATATATATATGATCCGTTAATTGCTCGAGTCACGCACACACTGACACACAGACACAGACATATAAATATTATATTACGCGTGTTATTCGTGTATAATAATATAATAATACGTACACACACTCGTGCTCAATAGTATAATGTCGCCTTCGGCTATATCTAATCTGTCTTGCGGTCTCTACGCCGAGTGTGTGCCTATACCTAGGTACCTATATAACATTATATGTTGTGGACTTTTACTCGATTCGCACGGGGCCGGTCTCTCGCTCTCCCTCGGGCATCCGTCTCGCCCCCGCGGTCGATCTCACTCCTACGCGACCCGTCGAGGTGTACCTTACCGGCTTCTGTGTGTAATATACCTCTATACCCGGCCACATTATATCCATAATAAATAAAATATAGCGCGAGCCAATAATCCGCACACACTCGCGCGAGAATGATATTTTATATACCGCGGTATACATTACGCGCGTTTACTATATATAGGTACACAACAACAAGTGCGTGTGTATCGGAATCGAATTATCTGTAAATCGTATAATATATAGGTAACTATATACATATACGAGGTGAGAAAGAGAAAAGTAACGCGATATTATCGACGACGACGAGTGTGGTGGACAAAGCGAATAATATAATATTATGATATCAATAATATAAGATTTTTTTCATCTCGTTTTTACATATGTGCAATACCTACCACCAGCTATATTATAATATTAAAATATATTATGCTTTTCGACCTAACCTCTAGCCGCCGACTCATTTGAATCTCCTGCGCTCGGAGTATTATATTATATTATACTTTTTGTTTTTATTTTTTTTCCCCGGCGGTCGTGACAGAAAAACGGTATTGCGTCACCGACCACCGACCCACCGCCGACGCCGCCGCCGCACAATATTCTGCGGCGCATTTGTCGGATGAATCGTTTATCGTGCAACCGTATCTCACTCTATCTACGCGAGTGTGTGTGTCTGTATATAATAATATAAGAAATTGTTATTATTATTGTTATTATAATATCTCTCTCTCTGTCTCTCGTTGAGCACAAAGTATATTATATGGCTACAAACCGACCGGCGGCGGCAGCGGACTTGGAGTATTGCGTATTATATTACTCGTATTATTATATATTATATTATATATGTGTTATTATTACTATTACTATATTATGACTATTGTATACGCGGCGGCGTTGAGCAACCATCGAACTCCATTCGACCACTCGGCCAATATAATATATATATATTATATTATATATAGATACATAATATAATATGTAATTTACTAATGCGTGGGCGATATATTTCGTTTATACCGTTACGAGGCATACGATTTCTACAACACTCTTGTGCAGCAGTCTGCGTGCGATTCTAGTTTTGAAAACTCGGTCAAAAAAACAGTTACATATTATATTATTATTATGTCTTATTAAACACGTGTTTTCGTTCCCCGTCTCGCTTTATATACCTACGATAATAATAATTATTATAATATATTCTTATTCTTACCGCAAAACTGCGTTTCTGCACTCAGACACTGTAGTACGTGTATAGTATAACATTATACCTAAATATACTTCATGTCGCGGTCGACCGTCTGCCAATTTGTCTGTCTTGCAATCTCCGAGCGATGTCGGCGTGGGCACGAATATAGTGTACTATCGCTTACCTATATACATGTAAGATCGTAAAAATAAAAGAGACACAGGCTAGAATTTATTTTTTTTTATTATTTATACGATATTTTTTTATGTGCGACGTCTCAACTCGATCAGAAATCAAATCTTGCGTAATTGTGGCTATATAATAATATATATATTGCACATATTATACTATTATAGTTACTGCAACATTATTTAATACTCGGAATGATCAGTCGCAGACAGCTGGTACAGCGGACAGTGGTACCTATAATATATTATATATAGGTAGTTTCGTGTTATTATAATATTAAATTGTTGTTAGGTATACGCTGCAGAGAGTATAGCTGTGAATTATATTATCATGCGTAGTGTACTAGTGTAGTGTGCGATACAAATTAGAATAATAATAGTATAATAAATAATATATAATACAATAATCGTATAGTGATACAAATATATTCGTTCGAAAATACGAAAATAAAAAATAAAATCTGTAGTGTTTCGCAACCTATTGAAATAATTATGCG